AATAATACCTGAAAGCAAATTGGCAGTTTTGCAGATTATATAATGTTGCATATTACAGTGCTCCATTTAAAGAGATGACAGAGAGACAGAGCTGTAGGCAGCAAAAGAAAGTCATGAAAATATGTTTGTCTCAGCCATTCTCATTCCCATGTTGTCAAATATTGATGCTTTGCCACGCCTTTCACAGTGTGATATCAACGCTGAAGGCAGCCTCTAGTATCATTATGGGACACACCAGGCTTTCAACTAACTGGAATATAAACCCATCCCCTGCAATACCTGATGCCAAGAGCAATTAGCGTAGTATAAGGAATAAGAAAATCAGTATAGGGTTGGAGGGAGGGAAGGCTGATGGGTCAAACAAAACTGGATTTTCACCCAGGAGACCGCTGTCCACGTCCCTCGTGAAATCAAATCACTGTTGTTTTAACATAACATTACATACCTATGAACAGTTGTCACGCACTCACTCACACGACGTATTTACATCACTACACAACACATAATGAACGTACTTATTTAAACCTAAAACATGATCTTTAGCTTTAGCTTTGTTGCCTAAACCTAACCGTGACTGTTTCACAACATTAACCACATGTGACGAATTCAATGTTAATATTTCAGCTATGCATCACGTAAAAATGCTAAAAGAAGCTAAAAAGAATGTGTCGCTGTCAGTCCCCAAGGGATGTGACAAAGCATCAAAGGTATTTGATGACCTTGGAATGAGAACAGTTAGGTTTGTCTCCATATCTTTACTAAAAGCTGGAAATATGCAGTTGCAGGTGCATTCAGGAGGAGGCATGGGGACAATACAGCGGGGTGGGGATGCCCTTTTTTTTAAAAAAAAATTGTCCTCACTGCACTTCATAATGTCTGTGCACACCCCTGTTTGCAGGAGATCTTTCTTTTTTCTGTGCCACTGCAGAACTCTCCTCACTGTATACTGTTAAGACGTGGATCCACATAAGAACTTAATATGATTTGTGCCCAATTTCGATTTGTTCATGTTCAGAGTCACCTGGGTACCCATTCTGCAGCCAGACTATTGTCGGGAGTTGTAGTTGGAGTAGGGATCTGAGAGACAACGAATTGCCTGATGATTTGGCTGCTGTGTGGCTGACCAGATGGGCTCTTTCCTTTCTCAGTCACTTTCCATAAAGCAGGCAATCAGTCAGGTTCGTAGGACACGGCCGACACTGATGTAGCCTCAACGCGGATTAGTCTGAGCCCACTGTCGGGCTTTGGCGCTGTTACACTGCAACCTTGGGGAAACATCAAGGTCCTGTGACTTTGCTGTCTGATAAAGAGACATACTCTCTACATTATTTCACTAGTTGGGCCAAAGAAAGCATTACGGTATGACTTTAATACAAGCACATTTAATCCCGGGAGTGTGTTTGCCTTTATTGTCTTCTCTTCCGTAATCTAATTGAAGGCTAACATACTATTCACAAAGTGATTACCTTGTAATACCCTTTTAAGCAGCGCTGTATGCTTCCCGTATGGCTAATAATCTGACAATGAAAAGATTGTTTTCTTCTAAAGACGCAATGCCCAAAAGGTTTGCTGCTTGCTGCCCTTTCTCTATTATCTCCCCTCTGTTAATTGCTCATTAGGAGGGAAAATGTGGTTTTAATTGTCTGACGGTCGAGACAGTCTGAAGTTCATTAGAGCTAATGTCCAAACTTCACAGAGGCACACAGTGGCTTATGGTGCCCGTCTAGACATAAACAACAACACTCGGCCAATTATTAATACATCCCATAAGAGCCTTTAGTGAATGTTTGTGTGTTTATGCAAGAACTTATATGTTTGATCCTAACATGACAACATGATGAATTTGTTGGTTATAATTGCCCTGCCTCTGCCTTATTGCATATTTTTGCAGTTGTACTCACAAAATGTTCTCCCCAGAAGACAAATGTAAGGTTTGGTAAACAAACCTCAGTAGGTAAAGCACAAATAATGGCTTGTCAGGGGACCCATACTTTAACTTATAAGCACTGGGGCTACTTTTATTTTAACAGTACTAGGAGTCCATTGCCATGCTAATGACTTTGTGAGGCTGTAATGTTCATTGTAAAGAGGATGGTGTCAGAATAACAAAAAAAAAAGTCAGACATAAATAATGTACAAATAATGACAAATGGGTTGCTAGAAAGAGAAGATGCTCAAGTCACATGCATCTTGAATAAGTCTTAAGAACAAAGTCCTTGGTTTTGTTATTTGTTACATGAAATGTGTTGGTTCTATTTATCTAAATTTTATATTTTTTCTAATCATCTATTTACCATTTAATATCAATTAATATTTCAGTTTAGTGTGTTGGTATGTTATAATGGAAAGTTACATTAAATACAAAGTACAGTTGAGGCTGTTGGGTGTGCCACTAATTTTCAAGGTCCATTTATCGATCCAACCATTTTCTTCAGTTTATCCGAGGCAGTTATGGTGGTAGCAGGCTAAGCAAGGTAGTCCAGTTGTCCCTCTCACTAGCAGCATTCTCCAACTCCTAGGATATTCCGAGGTGTTCCCAGGCCAGATGAGATATATAATCTATCCAGCATGTTCTGGTTCTACCCAGGGTCTTTAAAGGCATTTGGTAATAAATTCAAATGTTGGACGGTCGTCTAAGTCTTAGGATTCATCTTCTGGGGAACATGAAGAACTGTACCAAAATCAAATGCCAGTCTGTCATGTAGATTTGGAGATATTTCACTGGACACATGCTGATGGTGCTAGATGAAAACTAATGGGATGAAGGTTGTCATAGGTTCACCCTCTGGACACTGTGAATATCTTTACTTCTTTACTTCTTTGCAACATTTCACTCTGAACCAAAAAGGTCAGCCTCTTCGTGGAGTGGGAGGAAAAGTCAGGGGATCACCAAAGTCTGTAGGATTCATCCTCTAGGGACAGCGAATGTCATAACAAAATTCAACGGCAATCCGTTATTTGTTGATTTTAGTCTGCACCCAAATGGTGGTTAAAGAAGAACAGAAGAACATAATATGTACGTGCCTTTAAAAAACTATTGTTGAAATCACTGTTGAAAAATAACTCTGTGTTACGATGTGACAAGGCTATGGTGAAGGTTTGGTTCGGTTTAGGCACAAAGATTACTTGATTCGGATTCAGCCCAGTCGCCAGAAGAAACTGTTGCCATTTTATGTTTTTGTAAACCACGAATACTTTACATTGCATGTTTATTGTATCAATGTTTGTCAAATGCTATAGCATAGAAGCCTACTTGGGATGGTGGATGGCTTGTCACCGAGGCGTGACACCTGCCAAGCTGCAGACCACTGTTTGAGCCCCAAAAAAACAAAACCAGTTGTGATTTAGTGACAAAAAACAGTTGCTTTTTACTGAGACATCACAGCTTTTACAGCTGACCTGGGCGCATAAAAAGCAGTGTTCAACCAAGACATTGTTGCTTTTCTAGCCGAGATAGTGGCACAAAAAGGCATTTTTACCAAAGCATTGCTGCTTCTCCTGCCAGGATTGTGCCCCCCAAACCGGGTATTTTAAGCCAGAACATGATGTTTTCCCAATCATAATTAAGTTGTTTTTGTGCCTTAACCTAACAACACATTAATGTAGGTTTAGGGGAAAATCAAAATAAAAAAGAAACCATTAAAGTTAGGGGACCCTCATCATCATTAGAGTTGTACCAATACCGATACCGGTAACGGAAATGCCTCTGATACTGCCTAAAATGCGTTATCTGCGAGTACAGCCTATGACCAATCTGATACCATGAAATGCCTCACGTCATTACGCATATGCACGCTACAGGCAAACGAAAAGGAAACTGAGTTTAAAAAGCATTTTACTGTAGCCTTTAAAATGTCTTTTTTACCAAATTGCGTGGCTGCACTTTAACCTGTGTCTCGATCTGTGTCAACACTGGATAATAATGATAATAAAAAAAAGTTTTATGGCATTCATTCTACTATTATGTATTTATTTCTTAATATTTTACATAGAGTTTTAGGAGTTGAGACATACAACAATTCATATCCCATCCATTTTTATTTTACGCACAGGTATCGGATCGGTACTTGGTATCAGCAGGTACCTAAGGTTCAGGGATCGGAATCGGTATCAGGAAGGAAAAAGTGGTATTGGTACATCTCTAATCATCATACTAGGGAACGATCTTGCTCATGGTTAAGAGACACCAACGGTGACTGTTGTAGGAAACAAGAAATGAACAGTGCTGTCTCATGTTAAAGTTTGGCATTTGTCTATAAGAACTTCACTTGATAACTTTCACTCTCAACAGACAGTAGTCATAATTACTAGGACTGCTAGGGGGCTTTGTCGCCTGGAACACATGTTGTTTTGGGACACTTTGCGAAATGACTTATTCTGTCATTTCCCCTCAGAGGACAGTTAGCAATGAGACCCAGGCAATATGTTTCATTTGGTCCTAAGAATAATGTCGTATTCACAGTAATTCTGCCCTTTTCTAATCATAAATATTGATAGCCAGGGAGAGGCCTGGCTGAAGGTGGTGACAGCATATCTCCAAGGCAGGAAATGCAGAGATTTATTACTCTTATATTGTTATGCTGGTATACCTGGCAGAAAAGTGAGAAGGAGCCTAAGAAAAATATGTTTATAGAGCTAGAGAGTATTTTTTCATTATCCCTACGTTCAAAAATACTCCTGTTTTGCCATATTTAGAGTGAGTGTATCTATTAAAGATGAAATATACCTCAAGTCCCTTGACTGTCCTGAGTCTCTAATTCTGACAATGAGATGTAATAGCTTTTATTTAGGAATTATTGACTTTGCTTCTAGCCATGCAGGATTTAATGAAAATGGATTTGAGTTACATAGATTTTCTCATCTGAGTGTTTTAATATCTATTTGTTGCTGCAAGTGCTGATATGTAAAAGACTTTGGGCTGAAATTGAATAGCTTCTTCCCTTTTTCTCGTTTTCCTCATGCTTCCCCTTTGGTTTCTTCTCCTCGTCTGTCCCCTCCAGTGGTCGTGTTGTATTTGCAGGCCGTGGGAACCAAAGAATGGAGAGAGGTAAGTTAAGCAACCTTTTGCTCTTCAATATAAGTATCCAATATTTGTGTCTACCTGTCTGCCAGATATGTGTTTTTCTTTTAGGAATGCTAAATTATTAACTTCAAGAGTTTTCTTTGATGCTGGTAACTTTGAGTTAGAAATAAGAGCAGGGGTTATTATGAGTCCAGAGGCAACCCACTGCAAATCCTGAAAACATTGTTGTAGAAAATTGAAAGCTTCAACCTCTTCACTTACCCACAGAAGTGTAACCGCTGTCTGAAATGAACTCAGGTGGAGGAAAAAAAACTTCATATACCTGACCCAATCTGATGAATTAATAGTACAGGTTGAGGAATAAATAAATAAAAAGGATCTCATTATATCAGGTTTCAGATGTTAGACAAAAGAAATTCATATCATGACTCAGGGCTGGGAGAAAGAGAAGGGAGATTCCTTTTCGGTCTCATCAAATATGCACCATCTGCTCCTCACGACTTCTTGCTGTCTCGCCCTCTGTCACTTTTTTAAGGTGGGGTTATGTGACTTTCCATTCATTACCGCTTCTTTGAATTTCTTCCCTTTTTCATTTTTTTGCATCTCCCCGCCACACAGACACATTTTCGTGTCATCTCTTAGCCCTATTTCCCCCTCATCTTATTTGCCGATGACATTCTGTCCTTAGTCGGTGTATTTACACATTTGCAAATTCAAAGTCAACACTGATGTGTCAGTGAGGGCTTTGCCTCCACTGATCCCCTCACTTCAAGACGCCTCACACCGTTTTTTTATTCTGTGTGACAGTGCTTAATCAAAAACACGGCATGAATTGCACTGCAATCAGTAGAGTAAACATCTTGCTGTCAGCCATACACGCCATGTGCAGATTATTGTGCTTGCACAGAAACCTGACAAATCCTTTGTTTTCTTTTGACATAATTTTTTTTGCATTGTGGCAATACTTGAATTTGTAAATGAAATTTTGTCCTCTGAGGGAGACATCGTGCATTTGCATTCTTTTTCAGCAAACGAAAAAAAAACCATATCTGCAAGTAGCATTTGGTCTGACATATCACAATATCCTGAAGGCGTACAGTAGCATGATGTCTCCAACTAGTCCATCTTCAACCCTCCATTGTGGAGTGTCTCTTTTTCTTTCTGTTTTTGTGTTATGTGTAAGACTGTTATTATGTTGTGCTTCTTTTTTTGTTTGTTTGCTGTTTCTGCTGCATCAGGCTGTGGACCAAATTGTTTTCTGATCACAGGAGGTTCCATTTTCCCAGCCAATGCACATGATCCTCCACTTACAGGCTCCCACAAATCATTTGTGGTTGCTCATGGATGACTCCAGACTGTACATGCTCTAAAACCAGAATAAATGGCCTGGTTGCATCAGCATTTAAAAATGTATGAAGTTAATTCAGTTTAATGGAATCAGTTTAACTAGTCCAAACCCATTGAATGCACAGTTGCCCACATACAGTTTCACATGGTGTGTGTTTGGGATACAGGTCATAGGAAATTGCAGATTAAATAGTCAACTGAACCCATTAAGAAGAGCAATGTATTCAGACAGGGTTTTTGAAAAACGTGGGACAGACAGAATGACTGACTGACAGAATGACACACTGACAGTTTCCGTGATTATGTACAGCATATCATACCATGACTTAGTCATACCAAAAATTAGAAAAAAACCAAAACATTGGTCCACAGGGGGAGCCACAGCGATCGGTGCATTTTAGCCATTTTTAAGCATTTTTCTGTTGTTATAGCGCCACCCAGTTGCCAATTAGAGTTAAATTTCTCCAGTCACCTTGACACGTCCTGTTCTACATATCTACCAAGTTTAGTAAAAATCGATATGGCGGTTAGGCCTAGATAAGAAATTAGCTCTCTAGCACCCCCATTTTGTTTGATGGGGTCAATAATGGAGG